GGCCCCCTGCGGGGCCTCCGGGAGGCGTTGCACCCGCCGGTGGAATGACTCCCTCAGTGCCTGGACAGCCCAGCTGAGTTCTGCCCTGACCCAGGTGGCGTCGGCCAGGCCCTGGGGGACGCTCGGCTGCCCGCTGCCATGGGCTGTCCCGGCTGCCTCTCCTCCGGCTGCCCCCAGGTGCTTGCTCAGGGCCTCGACCTGGCTCCAGAACGCGCCATCCAGCAGCACCCTCTTGGCCCAGGCGTCAGCTGCAGCCCTGGCAGCAGCGGCAGCACTTGCAGGCTCCGGCGGCAACTCTCCTGCCTGAGCGAGCTCGTGGAGGACAAGAGAGATGTCCGACGTCGTGTTCTTCAGAGCATCGGCCACTTGGCTGATGAGCGTGGCCTCCAGGGCGATCTGATCAGAGAGAAGTTGCACCTGCTCCTGCTCGCTGAGCTCCGACTGGCGGGGCCGCTGCGGCAAGGCCTCCTGCTCGTCCTCCACGGAGCCGCCCTCCTCCATCTGAGCCTGGGCCTCCTCGTCAGCGGGGGTCGGCCCATGCCGGAGGGCCTGGATGGCACTGCCGAGCACACGCTCCACGCTGGCCAGGGAGGCTGCACATGCGTCCAGTTCGTGCTCCTGGCTGACCCCAGGCAGAGCCCTCAGCTGCTCACGGCAGTTCTCCAAGCAGGTGAGGGCCTGGCTGTTCCTCAGCTGGAAGCCCCCGAGCTCCCCGACATGGTCCTCAGCTCTCTTGGCCCTGTCCTGCCGCTCCTGCTCCAGCTGAGAGGCCAGGGCACCCACCTGCTGCAGGCTGGTGTGGAGCTGCTCGCGGAGCTGCGCCTCGGTGCCGGCCCATTGCTGGTGCAGGGCCAGCAGGGCCTCGCGGCTCTGGCCCTGCTGGCTCTCCAGCTTCACGGTCACGTCTTTGAGCTTCTCTTCCGTGATGTAGAGCTTGGTCTCCAGGGAGTGGATGATGGACAGGTATGTCTCTGAGTCACCAGATGCAGGCAGTGTGCTGGGGGCAGCCTCTGAAGACATGCTTTCCTCGGAGGGCGACCGATCCTGGCTAGTGTCGGAAGATGTGCTGCTGGTCCAGGCCCTCTCGGAGCCTTCGGGCTGGATGTACCTTTGACACTGGATGGTAGAGAACCGGATCCGCTGGCGCTTACCACCTGGCACTCCCTGGTCAGGTCTCGCTGTGCCCGGAGGCTGCCCCTCCCTACCAGACACTTCGATCAACTTCGGGGGTGGCCCACCCTCTTCTTGAGCAGGGGCACCATTAGCACATTCCTCCCCCAGAGCAGCCCCTGGGTCCTCGTCCTCGAGCTCCGAGTGTGGAAAGCCCAGGGGCACCCCTGTGGTGTGGAGCTGCTGGCCCGAGAGCAGAACGCTGTCCTCTTCCGCTTCTGCTAGGGCACTCTGCGGCTCCTCTGCCTCCTTCGACTCGCTGGCTAGTTTCCGTAAGATCTCCTCCTTTGCCTGGAGCTTCATTTCTGTCTCCTCTAAGCTGCTCCCCAAGGCCACCATTTTAACCAAAGCCTCGTTGAGGGCCTGGTCCTTCTTCTCCAGCGCTCTGGCGTGCACCTCCTTGATGCGCTCCAGCTCCTCCTCCTTCTCCCTCAGCAGGGCGTGCATCCCCTGGAGCTGGCTGGACGTCCTGCGGTAGGAGTGCTCCAGGCTCTGGTAGTCGGCCTCCCGCCCCTGCAGCTTCTCCCGGAGCTCGGCCAGGTCCCCGTCGGACGTGGCCACGCGCTCCATCAGCTCCTGGAACCGCTGCCCGAGGAGGTCGCGCTCGTCGCTGAGGCTCTGCATGTGCTCGGCCAGCTGGCGCAGGCTGGCCTCTCTGGCCTGCAGCTGCTCCTCCAGCCGGTGCACCTGCTCGCTGCCCTCGAACGTGGCGCTCAGCTTCTCCTTCTGCAGAAGCTCCACCTGCTGCGCATGGCCCTGCAGCTGGTCCTCGTAGGCACTGGCCTTGTCCTCCAGCTCCTTCAGGTTCTGCAGCAGTGCCTGCTTCTCGTGCTCACAGCTCTCCAGCAGCAGCTCGTAGTTCCTCTGCAGCTTCTCCTCCATCAGCCGCTGGGCCTGCTCGCTGGCGCGGAGCTGCTGGCTGAGGTCAGCGATACGCTCCTGCAGCCTCTGCACCTCCTTCTGCCGGTCCCGCTGCAGCGCCTGCTGCGTCTCCAGGTCCCGCAGTGCCTGTGTCTTCTCCAGCAGCAGGGCCTCTGCGCTCTTGAGCTTCTGCTCGCTGGCTCTGAGCTGGCCGCCCAGCACGGCCTCACTGTGCTGTCGCTCCTCCAGCTGCTCGCGCACCCTGCCCTGCTCCAGCTTCAGGTCGCCCTTGAGCTTGGCCAGCGCCTGCTCCTTGATGACCAGCTCCGCAGTGGCATTGCTGAGCCTCGCCTGGAGGCTGCGGATCTCGGCCTCGTGGTGCCGGATGGCATCCTTGGCCTCCCCGTAGCTGCGCTTCAGGGCCTGGACCTGGTGCGTGATTAGCTCCTGGCGCTGGCACCGGGCTTCGAGCTCACTTTGGAGATCTTGGTTGACTCTATGGAGCCTCTGCCAGGCACCCGATGGGGAGGTGGCCACTTCAGTCTTAAAGAAACCGATTAAATACTGGTTAGTACCACTCAGGCCTCCCAGTTCTGAGTGTCACACCTCTGGCCGGGAACAACCACAGAACGCTCCTTGGTGGGTCTGGCTTTTATCCTTTGTACTTTTTTATTTCCCATTTAAAAATCCAATAGATCATCTTAGACTTTTTTTTGGGTAAGTCGCAGCTTCCAGGTAAACAGAAAACACAGACAACAACATCAAAACACAGCTCTAACCAATAGCTTCTAGGAAAAAGAACTGAACAAAACAAAATAATGGAACACACTGAGAAGCGGGCGGAGACTGAGGGCGAGATCACGCCGGGGAGGGACAGGCGGGGGCAGGGGAGCAGACACCTGCATCTGTTTGTTTGTTTTACAAACAGAAAGTACACGGTCTAGACAACAGACCCCAGAAAGCGCAGGACATGAGGTGCAGGCAGGTGGCATCGCTTCCTTCTGAGAGGAAGGAGAGGCAGGTAGGCGACTGCCGGCAGATGTCGGCAGGTGACATCGGAGCGCGTCCCTTAGGACTGGAGGAACTAATCTCTACCTGCAGGAAGACAAAATGAGGGGGGACGGGCGCCAGGGAGGCAATATGATCATCAACAAAACAAACAAACCTTTGTAGAGGTCAAAATAAGAAAGTGAAGCATGCAAAAACAAAACGAAACACAAATGAAACAGAACTCCCCAAACCGCAAGGCGTGCAGAAGAGACAGAGCTAATGACGGGGAGGGGGTGAGGTGGAGGGTGGGGAACCCCACCAACAGGAGGCAGCAGAGCCCACCGAACCCTCTGGCCTGCCTGTGGCCCTGCCCGGCCCGCTGAGGGGGAAGCCACAGATGTGACACTCAGGTATGTCAAGTTTAAGGCAGATGCTACGCTCCCCTTCCAAACCACGCAGGCTCCACCCACACAGCTAGTGCAGCCCCCACCCGCGCCTGCGCCCTGGGCCCCTAACCCCACAGACCCTGGCTCAGCCTGACTTTCCCTTACGAGCATCTCCAAAGCTCAAAGCTGCTGCAGAACTACAAGTTACCAGACCTGGCAGGAAGGCATGAAGGCCGGCTCCGCCCAGGGCTGACTGAGGGGGTGCGGTGGGCCATGCGTTTGCTGGCAGGCACGGAGGTGGGTCTCGGGCCAGCGTGGCCCAGTCCACCACCAGCATCTCCCCACCTGACCAGAGGCCACTCTTCAGGATGGGGCTCCCCAGACTGGGAAGGCCGGCAGGAATGACCTAGAAGACCCTCTGCGCAGGGTCAGAAGGGAAAGGCACCCCACTGCCAACTGGAGCCTGAGTCTGGGCTGGGCAGAGCGGCGACTGCACCGGAGGGGCTACATGGGAGGCCCAGGGCGGGGATGGGGGAAGAGGCAGCCCAGGGAATGTGCAGAAGGGATGGCACAGAGTGAGGCGGGGACACAGGTTCTGGCCAGAGGGCAGTCGAGTACCCTGAGTCTACCCACTCCCTGGGGGAGACTCAGACCAAGGAGCCCAGGGCTTACGGTCTGGACAGGCCGACAGTGGGCTCACCACAGGCTCTGGGCTTTGAGAGCCACAGTGCATGGGGGCCAGTTGGTCTGGTCTGGTCTACACAGGCAGGAGGTGACTGCAGTGGAGGGGGCACTTGCACTCGCCCTGGGGGTCAGTGGCGGGCCCTCCCTGAGAGCTCAGGTCCCCATCCCATCGCCCCCCCTACTCATCAATCGCTCCCACAGCACCATGTGGCAGGGGTGAGTCTACTCTGTGCTCCCAAACTAGCAAGGGGCCTGGGACACCGTGGGGCAGTCGCAGGCTGCCTGCCCCCAGTCCTATACCAGGGCCCTCTACACCTTGTGACTGGCTGCTAGCCAGGACTCACGGGACAGAGATCTCTGGGCAAGATACTCCAGGTGTGGCTTCAGTCAGCGCCAGGCCACTGGCCTCCTCTCCCCTCTAGGCTAGGCAGCTCCAGGCACTGTCCCTGAAACTTTAGCCTACGTGGAGGTAGAACATGGGGCCACGAGGCTAGCGGGGACAGGCCCAGGTCTGCCTGAGATGCGGCTCGCACACAGGCAGGGGTGAGAGCCCAGCCTGCCTAGCCATGCACTTGCTGTGGGTCGTCAGCGGGCGCTTGGCTCGCTGGGACTCAGTCTCTTCCATCCGCTCAGTGTAAAGATAACCCGAAATAACATGCGGAGACAAGGTTTATAAACGTCCACACCAGCTACCATGAGAGCTGAGAGAAGAGACTGCTGAAATGGTTTTATTGGGGAAAAGTAAAAAGGAAAATCCTAAGATATGGAGGTTTCGGGGAGTCCCCCAAATGTCAGACTAGGAGGAAAAGGTAGGGAGCTCGGGCAGCCTGCACTGGCATAGGGGCTGTCCCACTGGCCAGGCTGCACATTCCCAGGCTGCTGGGGTCTGGGCGAGGACCCTGCACACTGAAGCCCTGAGTGCGTGGGCCACGGCCCTCTGCCCTACCTGCAGTACATAGCCCTCCCGGGCGCTCTGCTCCCGGCCCAGGGCCACCCGTAGCTGGTCCTGCAGGAGCCGGTTCTGCTCCAGAAGGTCCGAGGCCTCCTTCTGACTCTGCTCCAGCTGTGGGTAACAAGGCACACTTTTAAGCAAAGCAGTGATAAGCGAAAGCAGCCACAGATGCAGGCCAGAGCCGCCTGGCCCCACGGCGGAGCATACCCAACTCCCCCACTTGCCCACAAGTCAGCAGGAGTGCCGCTCTGCTCGGGAGCACAGGGTCCAGCTCAAGCTGTGGATGACGCAGGCAGACCTGCTACTGATGGCCATGGGCGGCCAGGGTGCCCACGTGACCCCCACGCCTGCTCAGGGTTCCAACGTGTCGGAGGAGGCTACACTAGGTGCTTTGTGCCTGTACCAGGAGAAAAACTGCCCTGATGGGGTCTTTGAGCTGGCCTCTGCTGGGGACAGAGGGGAACAGGTCCTGCCATGACTTCAAACAAAACTGGTTGACTTGATCATGATGGGGTCCACCTGACGTTCTGCTTGCAAAGGGATTCTCAGAGCTCCCTTGACCAGACGTGCGACCCCTGAGAAAGACGCTTCACATGCTCACAGTCCGTGGCTTAAGAGTCTCTCGCCCACCCACCTGTCTTCCCCAAGCATGTCCTGGTGCCTCTGTGAGGTCCCACTGCGTGTGGAGCTGCCCTGACCTGTTTCCCAGGAGCTCGTGGCGAGAGGAGCTGGGAGCACAGGCTGCAGGCTCCCCGCAGGGAGGGAGGGAGACCCTCGGCTTCAAATCACTGAGGACTGACCTGCTTAGACGGGAACTGGGGCTGGTGGGTGCCCGCTGGCTAGGCCTGTGCAGGCAGCTGAGACCATGTGAGTTCCCGCTGTCCCTTTGCTGGGTCTTGCCCTCATCACTCATGAATGAGTTGAATCGAAACCAAGTTAAAGCGTTGGTGCTGGTGAAAACCTCGGCCTCACACATTTAATAAACAGGGAGCCGGTGATGAGGAGAGCGCCCCCGAGTGGCCTCGCTCACTGGGCTGTTCACAGGGCGTAACGGGAAGACCCCTAGTGCAGGGGACCCTTGCCAGGTAGCGGGGCCAGGCGGGGCACAGACAGGCTGTGTGTCTCCTCTGCCACAGACGCTGCTGGGACACAGACCGGCCAGAGGCTCCCGGATCTGACTGTGGGTGCATCTTTGCAGTCTCAAGGCAGGGCCCTGCCCAACCCAGAGGAAGCCTCCACAGCACACGCTGAGTGAGACGCTCGGGGCACCAGCTGCTCACCCTGCCCTGCCTCACGCAAGTGCGGAGCCCACCCAGGGCTTGGCCGCCTACCCCAGGCCACTGCAAGAGCAGCCGCCACTCTGCCTCTAGCTCGCCCATCTGCCCCTTGTCCCCCAGATGTCCAATGCACACTGAAACCCAACCCTGCTCATGTCCCTCTGCAGAAAGCCTTTGACTCACGTGTTTTAAAAGGAAAGACAAACAGCACCCCACCAGGGTCCTTCCACGCGACCCACCTCAGCCCTGCCAGCTCTGGCCCACGGCACCTGATGTGTTCACTGAGGTCTCCACACACAGAGCTGGAACCCTCCCCGGCCAGTCAGGGGCAGAAACATGCCTTACTGCTCCCCACCAAAGGGCCCCTCTAGTTCTTGCCTTCTAGGACAGTGACAACCCCCACCCCCAGGCAGCACCCCTCTAGAAAGGCCCTGGAGCTCCCTGGAGAGGACTGTGGGTGGGACCCCTCCGCGGCAGCTGGCTGCGCAGGGCTTACCTCCTTCTCTAGCAGAGAGGTGAGCTCGTGCGTGGAGAGCCGGTCACTGCCGTCCTCGGAGGACAGATGCAGGGGGGCGATGGGCACCTGCTTTTCCTCCCGGAGAGGGGTGGTCTCCACCTGGTGCCAGCGCTGTTCGATCTCCACGTGGACGTTCTGCACCTTGAGTTCGGAGGGTGCGGGCAGCCCGGGGCTGCGGTCAACCTCCATGCGCAGGGCGGCGTCGTCGGCACCCGGCCCGTCCCCGGCGTCCAGAATCCCGAAGCGCTTGCGCCGCTC